ATGCGCAACACTGTAAAAACGCCTAAAATGAAATATGGTGCAACATGAGCAAATCTTAATTTAATGCCGCAATCGACATTGTCTATTCATATTCATTTTGATAGCAACATACGTAATAGATTTAATTTGTTTGTGCAGGGGCATTTTTGTCTAATTTAGTGGCATTTTTGCCCCAAGTCCCCAGGCCAGTCTAAAACACGGCGCTCAAGTTTAAAGAAATTCAGCTTCTAAAAACAAGTCTCTAGACCTTGCGGTTTAAAAAAAACTTCCACTGACCTGTCTCGCGACCAAAACACTATCTGTGTGAACCCAGTATTCTACTAGTAGACAGCAGGTTTGGTGACGGTCCGACAAATACGTGAATGGGCCACATGAGTTTTTATTTTATTTATTTTGTTTTTTTTACTGTTTTGTTTGCTACTTCATCGCCCCATTTCGTTACCTCAGCCGCCCCCTCATCAGTGCTGGGCTCTGAGGACACGAATATTGAGGAAACAATGGATGGCTTTCACGCTAAAGTAAAAGACCGCTTATTACATGCAAGCACTGTCACCGGCAGCAAGTTTAGTTTTACTTTTCTTTATGTTTTCATTTTGAAAAGCTTATCTTTTGTTTTTACCTCACGTTATGCTATGGAGGCTTTTTATTTATTTTATTTGATTCCTCAGTGTTTGCTAAACGTTCTGTAATGTATTAGTCATTTTGTAGTACAGCATGTGGTGTATGCCATGCATCATCTTATTCGTTTTTGTTAATAAAGCTTTTGTAAGCTAGTTTGTCATTGTATCTTACTGAAAAATAACTAAAATAACAATGAATCCATCTTTTGTTTTAGTCTTAAAAAGTGAAAGGTGTATAGATGTATGCAAAATCGACAATTATCTTTTATTGTAAAACATGACAAGATCGCAAAATCAAAAGTGAAAGCATCCGAAGCCCGGTGTTCTGTCGATTTGTGCTACCCTGTCAAATTTTGCTATCTCCTATTAAACAGTGGGTAGTACAATTCGACAACGAAAAATGCTACCTGTAAAATTATGGTTTATTAACATCTAAACCTACCCTTACAGTAATGCAAATACAGTAATTGTTATGTTCCCGGTTGTGGCTGGAAGGGATACAGCTATAGGAAACCAACAATAAATATTTTTTTTTCTACATATTAGATTGTGTTTTATTAAAGTCTACACCTACCCCAACCCTAAACCTACCCTTACAGTAATGCAGATACATTAAATATTGTTCAGCGTGTGAAAAAGGACGCAATATTGATGTGCGCATGCGCAGTAAACCCTGGTAGGACAATCTGACAAGTAGGATAAAATGTCAGGACACCTGTTTATAACATGGCAAAAGAGGAAAAAGAACGGGTTGAATGTTAACCACTTTCGTTTTCATATAACTATAAACTATGATAAAAGTTCATCAGCATGCACTGATTAATCCCATGTTGTAGCAAAAAAAACAAAAAAAAACATGTGCTCTGCAACCAACTGAGAAAGTGGAGCCCTGAATTGCCCAACTCCCTCTGTCAATGATCTAGCACCCCCTCAGCACCTGCGTTCAAAATTCTCTGGCGCCGCCCCTGCCCAACCTCTATCCTGAAGCTCTCAACATCCCAGTCATCATCTTTCTACCATACACAGGGCCGCAAACAGGTCGAACGACTGCATCCACACCATCTCTCCCTAACCGTGCGTAATCAAAACAATGAATGTTCTTCGATGCGTAGAATTTAGAAATGGAGGAAATACTGGAGCCTCTCCCGAGTCCATATTGCTGCTGTAGGACCTCTTGAACATGTTTGCATGTGTATCCCAGCTCCTCTACTAACCTGCGGATTACACTTTCGTAATCATCAAGCACACTCCATTCACACATCTTCCAGAAAATCTGTGGTTGTTAACGTGCAGTCACACAGTTAATGGAGGTCTGATGATAAATTATTGCATGGTCAGACGTGCCAAGGCATAAGGCCTATACATACAGTGCTCTGGGTAAATACATCCACATCCCCACCCCAGCTCCCCCCACTGGTACGGTCCAACCGGGAGCGCAAAACAGAGAAGTGGAAAATCAGAATAATGAGTAATTTTTTATGTTGGTTCAAAAATCAGATTAGGGCGCAACAACCCAAACACATAAAATTGAAAATTAAAATGAGAGACAATTATCCGTTTGTAAATTGCTCCAAAGAAATTGAAAATGAAAGTTTGAAGCCAACTTTTAATTTGGTTCATTTTGATGGTGCGAATTGAACCAAGAACTGCAAAGGGTTACACGGACCATGTCATTATAATGTTTTTTTGTTTAATTTATGGGATGGTTAATTTTTTAGAAAGTGAAATCTGATGGTAACAAGGTATTTCTGTGTTTTATACTGTGCCTATTTACTAATATAACAAATGGAAACAAGCTAAATATAACATCCTTATGACAAATAGAAAAAATTAGTAAATGAAGAAAACACAAAGTTACAAAATTTTTGTATATTATGTTTAGGAAAAAAATGTATAAACATAGTACAAGCTGCATCAGCTGCTCATTATTAAAGTTATTTCTTCCTCACTAATGATGCTTGTTTTGTAGAATGAACCAGTTCATGATAATCAAATCTTTCAGGTTGTACAAGCTGCAGCACTACGGTGTCCCTCCGGACAGAAATAAGCTCCTGACTCCGATATTATTCTTTATAATAGTGTAAGGACTGAGACAAGCACATATTTCCTGCTCTGTAAGACCGATGTCATTCCTGCTTGTGCATAGATATATATATATATATATATATATATATATATATATCGCTAGTTAGACTCATGCAGCGCCAGCATGCTTTTTGCTGAGACTTATAGCTGATGCGGTGTGTTTGCATCGGCCCCTGGTGTTCGGCTGTTCGTTTTTGTCCAATAAGTCAAATAACTCTAATAACTCTGAATTGCTGAAGGAAAGGAGGTGTTTGCCCGTGGTGCAAAAGTTGCCATAATGATGTTAGGGTGTTTTGGGTGACTGCCAGCACAACTAACAAAACTATATTCTGAGAATGTTTTGCTAATATTACCATCCAGTTTATATTTCATTAAAATTGTTTTTCGATTATGCGAACGTTAAGGGGAAATTTCATTTGATTATTTTGCAAACATCATGGGAATGTTACTTTTGAATATTCCCTGAATGTTCTGGAACAAGTAGTAACATTTAAAAGCGTTAGATGAACGTACAACTGAAGTACTGCAGAAATAAAACACTCCTTTTTTGTTCCTTTGTTTTTGTGCTGATGTTCTATGAACATTACTTTGTAACCTTGTCAGAACATTCGCTGTTAGCTGGGAGGGTGTTGATAAGCGGTTGCTACAGGAGTTCAAATGAGTTGTAAACATGTTGCTATGCAGTTGCTACAGTAGGTGCCAATCACAAGCCTCTATGATTTTGGTCAGTAGACTTGAGTCACTTCTTCAAAGAAACACTTTTTTCCCTCATATTCTTGGTGAAAACTGTCCAGTTGCGAAGAGCTTTATGCTATTGTTTATGATTTGAGGTTTAATTCATGTTTGCAGCACAAACATTTGCAGTGCATGTTACACTACTGTTGAAAAGCTTGGGGTCAGTAAGATTTCTTTTGAGATTTTAAAAAATATTTTTCTTCTGCAAGGATGCATTCAATCGATAAAAAGTGACAGTAAATACACAAAAGCTTCCGAATGTTACAAAAGATTTCTATTCTGTTCATCAAAGAATCCTGATTAAAGGGGTTTCCTCAAAAATATGAAGCAGCACAACTATTTTCAACGTTGATAAGAATAATAAATGTTTCTTGAGTGGCAAATCTGCATATTAGAATGATTTCTGAAGGATCACGTGACACTGATTCAGCTTTGCATCACAGGAATAAATTACACTTTAAAATATATTCAGATAGAAAACAGTTATTTTAAATTGCAATAATATTTCACAATTTTACTGTATTTTTTGATCAAATAAATGGTGCACATAAGAGAATTCTTTCACAAACATAAAAAAAATCTTACCTCTTAAAGGGATAGTTCACCAAAAATGAAAATTGTCATTATTTACTCAGCCTCAAGTTTTTGCCAAACCTTTATGAGATTCTGTCTTCTGTTGAACACAAAAGAATATATTTGAAAGAATATTGTTTACTAAACAGTTGATGCTCCCCATTGACTTCCATAGTATTGAAAATATACAATGGAAGTAAATTGGGGACTATCAACTGTTTGGTTACAATATATTCTTTTATGTTTAGCAGAAGAAAGAAATTCAGGTTTAGAACAAATTGGCAAACAACAACATATGTGACCCTGGAGCACAAAAGCAGTCTTAAGTCTATTTTATTTCTGCAGCCGATTTTTCTTTTATGTCAAAAATCATTAGGATATTAAGTATGTTCCATGAAGATATTTTGTAAATTTCCTACTGTAGATATATTAAAACTTAATTTTTGATTAGTAATATGCATTGCTAAGAACTTAATTTAGACAACTTTAAATGCAGATTTTAGAATAGTTAGATTTTTTTGCACCCTCAGATTCTAGATTTTCAAATAGTTGTATCTCGGCCAAATATTGTCCTATCCTAACAAACCATACATCAATGGAAAGCTTAAAAAATTTCAAAAAACATGTACCCTTATGACTGGTTTTGTGGACCAGGGTCACATATTTTAATTTTTGGGTGAACGATCCCTTTAAGGGTTGGGGTTTGCTCAAAAATAATAGTGTTGCTCGGCTTTGTAAACACCACTTCTGAAACGTGAATGTGGATGGAATTTTATTGTGAGATATTTTGCATGTAGTTTTGATTCGTACAGATTCACCAGCTGTTTTGTTACATTTGCATCATAGAGGAACCGTGACAAAGGCTTAAAACCCTCCTTTTTGTTTTGCCTTGTTCAGTATCATCAGTCTTAGGATGCATCATCAGATCAGCAGAAGAGATATGATGCTTCCTCCTCCGTGACCTTTCCTCTCATTTCTCCCCTACAGACAGATCGGCAGTATGAAGCCCACCAGGCCCACCGCTCCTCAAAGCCGCCCAAGGACTCCTACCTGGTGGAGCAGGTGTTCAGCCCGCACCACTTGCCTCCCGCCGTCAAGTCTCACATGAAGGGCAGCCCTCTCTACACGGACCTGCGGCTGACCGGCCTTGCTGATGGCAAGCGCTCCCAGCCCTCCTGGACCATCGAAGAGTACAAACGCAACTCGGGAGACAAGAACAAGCTCAGCGCCCTGGACCTGCAGGTGAGATGCCACCTCGCTGTGATTGCAACCTTGCCAATCTTGTCGATTTTCACTGTTCCTTGAGGCTTTGCTGTGTGTGGGATTAGCTTCAAAAGCTGAGGCTCATGGGAATGACGGCATCGATTGTCATTCAATCAGTGCTTCTCTGCCACATGCTGGCGGTGTGGCTTAAGGTCGGCAGCGCAGTAGGTGACCTTGTGTGCTGTGAAATATTAATGATCCTTATTAAAACCAGTCATTGACTCAGTGCAATTACTGCAGGTCCTTGGCTTCATTTCAATGCCAACTTCAAATGCTGTTAGCAGCCCAATTTGCTTCTGAAATCGAACGTATTTCTAAGTGAAACTGCTCGTATAGTGAGAATAAATGTAGGATGGAATATGATTGCATTTTGAATTGGTTGATCCAGTTTGAATGATTTGCTTTACGATTTTGGATTGAGTCAATCTGAGAGGTTCTTGAGTCAATGACTCACTGACTCATTTAACTGAGAAGCATTTAATATGGAAATGAGGTAATTTGTTTGTGGATTAACTTTGAGACATTTTGAAAAGCATGCAATTTTTAAGTTTTAATTAGTACAGATTTGCCAGGCATTTTTGTTATGTGTAGATCATAAAGGAACGTTGGAAAACGTTTAATTGACCTTGATTTCTCATGAGGAGTGAGAGAGGATTAAAATGCTCCTCTTTTTTTTTGTCTGTTGTGTGCAGACTTAAAACATCCTGAAAAACTGTTTGCAACCAATTTAATTTCTGAAATCTAACATATTTTGAGTGAAACTGGATGTTCAGTGAGAAAAAAATGTAGGCCAGGATTTGGGGGGGAAAAAGATTCATTAGCAACTCATTCTTTTGAATTTAATTGTTTCATTTAATCAGCAGAATGATTCATTCACAAACCAGAATGAACAGTTTGTTCATTAATTGGATTGAATCAGTCAGACAGGTTCTTGAGCTAGTAACCAACTGACTCATTTTACCTAGAACTGTTTAATATGGAAATTTGTGACAAAAAAGTTATTTTTTAAATATTTATTATATAGATAAATAATTGGAGATTGAATTATATATAATATGTAAATGCAAATTAAATGTATTCTTATGAGCTAACGCAGCAAAATGGCAAGCACTTATAATAAAATTCCATATTAAAACATTATATACAGTAATCTGGATTTACATATGGCTTTATTGCAGCATTTTATAGGGTATGACAGGCATGCAATATAAATCACTGATGTAAAAGAATCACTGAATTGTTTACTGAAAGATTCATTCATTAACCCTAAGACTGAACAATTTGTTCTCAAATTGGACTGAATCAGACTTGGAGGTAATTTAACCAAGAATGGATTAACGTGGAAATAAGATCATTTGTTTGTGACTTTTTACAAAAAAATAAATAAATAAATAAACTTTTAGGTGAATCACTAGGATGAAATTATGTAAATGCAAATTGTGTTTTTATGAGCTGATTCATTGGCAAAACATTATATATACATATCAAGAACATAATTAAAAGCAATTTTGGTGAACATATGGCTTTACTAGTATATTTTAGAGAGATTTTTTAATATGCCACTTAACAATCAATTAATTGTTCACTCACGAACAAGACTGAACAACTGAGTTGGACTGAATCAGTCTGAGAGGTTCTAGAGTTGACAGCTCATTGATTCCTTTAACACAGAAACGCTTACTTTTTACAAAAATGTATTTAAATAACTTTTTTAGGCACATGATGTAAATGGATTTTCATATTGCCTAATGTAAATGCAAATTAGTTGAAGTTATGAACTGCTTCAATGCTGTAACAAATTGAAACACAACAAATTACAATAAGCATCCTCAATAATAAAACGTATTCAAGGAAAACAAACAATATGACATTATAGGAGAGTATGAGAGGCATGCATGCCATGATGAGATGTAAAAGAACATAAAACAAAATAGACTTTCCATAATATTGAAAAGTTGGTGTTACCAACTAAAATTAACAAGAAAAATAGTTGAAGGTTGAAAGTTGTTGTTTTTTTCAGATCAGGAGCATGTTTTAAAGTAAAAAGGGTCCATTTGTATTCATGCAGGCTTGAAAACCGTCTGTTGTGTGTTTGTTTTAGATGAAGGCTTACAGTTGTCTGTTTCAGATGATGTTTATCTCTCTTCGCTATCTCCAGACATAATCGCGTGCTATTGATAGAGGACGCCACACAATAAAAAGGCTTTAGTGTAGGAGACAGCACTCGGCAAGCTTCTCTCATAATAACATAATCTATGCTGTATTTTATTGACTCTCTCCAAAGGGATATTGATTTTGAATGGACAAAAGCAAGTGATGGCTTTAAAATTAGCTGTTCTTGTGCTGAACAAAGTGAAAACGATGGAACAGAAAAATAAATTGCTGACTTCTTCGATGGCTTTTGCAACTTCTGCAGCCGAATTTTAAAATGTGCCCTACATCTTTGCATCAAATCTGTGCTACCTATTCACTCCAGTGCATGGAAATTTGGCTAGAAGCAGGGGAGCATCTCTCATTTTGCCCATTTGCAAGGGCTTGTAATTTTCTGAAGGCCTGCTTACCCAACCATAGCGTGAGAGGAACAGAAAAAAGACAGAAAATGTCAAAAAGACAGAACGCAGCTTGAGCAATGCAATGTACCAGTGATTCTTAGTGACCCAGTACAGTGCTTTCAAACCTTGAACAACAAGATGAGGCTGGCAAAGCAAAGAGTTTTCTGGATTTCTGCAGCAAGCAGAGGCGTCATGCCCATTCAAAGTGAGGGGGCATGTGCCCCCTCAGATTTTTGAGCCAAGTGGATTTTGAATGCAGCTTCCAAAAGACAAAAAAATAGCCGATTAATATTTTCTATATTTAATACAATCACACCGGCGTGATTATAACGTTCAGTGCGTCATATCATCAGCTGCTAAATTCAAATCGGCGTTCGTTCGCTGGCTAGCGCTGAGCCAGATACAGATGCTTTTTACAGCACTGCGCATTAAAGTGGTCCTATTATGCTTTTTCACTTTTTTAATTTTAGTCAGTGTGTAGTGTGTATGTTTGGGCATAAAAAAGTTACAAATCTCAAAGTCCACTCCAAAGGGAGATATTTTGTTTTTTTTTTTAAATCCCTTTTCAAGAACTACAGCAAACGGCTCGTTTGGACTACAGCGTTTGTTTTCCGGTAAAATGCCGGTGTTTTCTTCACTCGGTCGCTGACTGAATACCTCTTTCTGGTGAATTCTCTCATCAGAAACAACAAAGTGCAAATGTGTGTACGAATCTGAATATTAATTTAATAGTGTTAACAGCTTCAGTGATTTTAATGGGAGTTTTTGAGAGTGCTTGACTCTTACTGTCAGTGAAAATATTCTTTGATAATGTAAATGTTCTTTGCTCTCTTTCTGTACAATGAAAGTGTTATGATTAGTAGCCTAACTTGCAATGTTTTTATCCACATTAACTTTCAATGTTAAAGTCACATTAAATAGAAACTCAGTCATATTAAAAAATATGTTATGGCATGACATCCATATCTGTTAATTAAGTAAACAGACAGGTTTTTATGCATAGTTAATAGATTACATTATTAGGTTACTTTGACCATCTACCAGTATAGATCAACATAATCTATAAGGTGAGAATCAAGATATTTCATGATATAGTTAATGCATCTGGGGATGTTTCTAATAAAAAGGAAAAAAATTAATAAAACATAAGTGCTGTTGTGACTGCTGTGTGAACACCCCCCCCCC